TTTTCATAAACCCTAGAATCAGAATGGTATAATAAGTATTTGTACAATTGGTGTTTTATACGTCCATATATTACATTATATTAAAAAGTATTTTACAAAATTAAGTTGATTGGGATTGATTGTATATTGTTTACCGTCCCTGTCGAGAATTTTTCACTCATATGGAGACGCCACCACTTGCCGGTGGAGAGTTACTAATTTTATCCTATACTCGGCACTCAGGGCCATTGAGCAGGGAGGGATCTTTTTCGTGCCAGCACTTACTGCGACAAGGGAGCTCGGTTTATATGGTCTCATCCGAAGGACCGGTCTCCAAGTCCCACAGTGGGATTCGAACGCGCGACGTAAGGATGGACTTCAGAGCAGACGCTCTAATCACTGCCCCAAGCGGGCGACGAAGTAGCAGGACTATATACATGTATCTCTTTCAGCTATAAGTTTGGACCCCAAATATTGGATTAGGATTAAAATGGCTTTAAAAAGTAAGAAATAGTCAGCCCCTGAAGGACTGAAGGCCTAAAATACTTCATATGAGCGCTGTGGCTTATGAGATTTTTAATCTTCGTTGTGATACTTTTATCAAGATCTTTTGTTTCAGAATTCGTGAAATTGATGGTAAACAAAATGTGAATCATAGTGCAGCAGACATTCTTTCCAAAGCATTCCTCGACGTATTGGATGTGAAAACCCTCATTCCAAGTCCTATATTTAGCACACTAGTACTTTGTTCAGGCAGGCCTTATGGTGGGATTCATTTTTGTTTATTTCTGTTTATATGTGCGTATGTCCGTACCATACATACCAAACCTTAATGACAGTTTTCTCAGTAACTACTCTTCGGAAGATGCTCAAAAGTTAAGCAAAAACTTTGTTTTTTTATATGGTGGGATTTTTTTTACGAATCTCTTCCTTTTTCCCTGTGACTCTATGTAACTGAATTTGTGTGTTTACAACAGAGTAGGGTATCATTCCTAAGCAGTGCCTCGCAGAGTTCTTGTTTTTACCAACATTTTATTTCAAAAATAAAGATAGGCTCAAATATGGCAGATACACATTTGCTGAAATTTTCAACAAATTCGCGCATTATTTTTTTTTTTTTAGAAAACCCTCATCCGTGAATTTAACGAACAACAGAAAAAAAGATAATGATTTATTTTGTTTTCCTTTGTGAACATTATGTTCACGTATTCTGTTAATTTATTTAAAAGTCCGCCTGTATTTATGCAACAACCACATTAGGATTCAATTTTTTCGATTTAGACATATCTAGACTTAGGAATGAGGAAATCAGATATTACATCATTTCACAACAGAGAAGCTTTCACAATACAATTGAAACATACATGTATACATATATGAATGTACGTGCAAATTCCATTTATCTTATACTGTATAATTATGTATGATAGATTTAATTCTAAAACTGATTCAAGCTTGTCATTTTCACTATTTACTTGTTTTGTGAACAGTTTTGCTATTGAGACTACATAGACAACTATACATGTATGAATGCAGTTTGCATATTTCTTATGCTTTAATTCATACCATAAGCAAGGTAAATCAAGAGTTTGTTTTAAAAAATATGATGACCAAATTTATGAATTTTATATCTCAGCAAAAAATTCTTCGACATGATTTTAATGTGCAGCCTCTGGTCAGCAAGGAGTTAACATTTTGAATTGAATATTCTTGCTTTGGATTTCACGAGAGATGTTCAACTGTTTTGTACGTCAACAATAAATGAAAAAAAAATCAGTACAATTTTTGAAATGTTATCATTATATTTTTACATTCAGTATAATTTTCTTTATGAAATCCATTAGAAATTCACGACGTTCAAACCTCTATAACACACGCGAAACCTTGTCACCGCGCGTTAGAATACACACTAGGAAATATATGCATTTTCAATACTCTAGGAACACCAAAATGTACATTTTTTGACACTATTTGATAAAAAAAATTTACCCTGTTAAATTAACGTAAAAATACAACAAATGTGCGTTTAAAATTAATTTGTCACTTTTTTTTCTCTCGCAATGTTCGTTTGCGTTATTTAACTTTGCAACGTCACAAACGTCAAAAACGGCTCTTACGTCTATAAAGCACACCAGTTTTGAAGGGCGCTTATTTCACATTAAAGATTACCGAAATAAACAATTATGAAAAGAATAAATTAGAGAATGTAAATATAAGCATTGAATTCATATTTTGGGATGTCTTCGGTCCTATAACACACCTGGACGTCCCGACAAACTATCATACAGCGCTAACGCGCGGTATTCAATTTGTCGGCACGGCCAGGTGTGTTATAGGACCGAAGACATCCCAAAATATGAATTCAATGCTTAATTAAATGTGAAAAAGGATTAAAAGTATTGAAAAGATGTTCATTTTTATTCTCCATATCTTTGTTAGGATCTCTTATTATAGGTTACCTACGAGTCTGTCCGTCCGTCAGTCTGTCCCACTTAGTTTTCCGCACCTTTTTCTAACAGCTTGCAGATATTGAGTTGATTTTTGGTATGTGAGTGTATCATGATGAGCAACAGAACAGTTTTGATTTCGCTTCATTGACTTTTGACGGAATTAAGGCATTTTTAATTTTTCATAATAAGGTTTAAGATCGGGTTCGTGCTACACTAAATTAATGATCCGAACGAGATTGTCATGTTAAAAATTATTTTAGATTTAGAAGTTTACTGGGTAACTTTATAGAGATCAACTATTATATAGAATTATATCCTACAGTCCCGGTTAAACGACAGAATGCGTAACGTGTATACTATATCGAGAATTTTTTTTTAATAAATGATTATAAATAATATAATCAAAAGCAACGACGAGAACTTGATACATGACTTGTGTAAATTATGTTGAAATCCGTTTTACAAAAAGTGCATTGCGTCATATAAATAGCTAAGGATTAAATTCTTTTTTTTTTACAGTAAATTTATGATTAAGGATTACTTGTCCGAATACCAGAACAGTTCTATGTTGTGAATAATTGTTCGGGGTCCGTTCTATTAAGATATAGCCTAGTGGTAGAGCGTTCGTTTGCTGATCCGGAGGCCTGGGTTCGACTCTCTTCTCGGCGCCGCGTCAAACCTAAGACGTAAACATAGGTAGTGACTGTTCCTTCGCCAAGCGCTCGGCATTAGAAGTGAAAGTCACGGTTTTTTTTTTGGATATGACCTTAAGAACGTAGGTCACGGTAGGCGTTGGCACGATAAAGAACCCTCACAGCCCTGAGTGCCAAATATAGTCTAAATTTGAAGCCCTTCACCGGCATACGGTTACGTCTAAGTAAGATAAATTCTCTAATGGGACGTTAAACAATATACAATCAATTAATCATCTAATAAGATATAAGCGATAAGCTAAATTTCTAACAGGTGACTTCACGCCATTGCAAATATCGATATTGTAGTTCCGAATGTCAACATGGTAAATAAGAAGCGAGAAGACGTTGAAAAATCAAAGTACTCAGAAGTACAGAGAGCCGGGCTCATTTACAGAGTAGAATGAATTTCTTACATGAATCACGTTTATATTCTGATGAAAAAATTATTTTAAAACTATCAATATAAATGATAAGACACTGACAGTGAGTTTTTCAATCCTAATACCACGGTCTGATTTTGTCAGAATCAGAATTAATCTGGTACCGCAGCTGAATGTAAACAAACAGGCCAGTCTCATTCCCTCTCCTGCTTTACCTCGTATGTGTGGGGAACTACGATTACACAGATTATCAAAAATCCTTACGCTACACTAATGAACTATGTTCTTTGGCTTTGGACTGAAGTTTTCAAAGTCATTACTACTAATGTTTATTTATATAGATAAAACTTCGTTTTATTTTTGCTGCTTTATTTAGCGTTTGTATTATCTCAAAAGCAGTTGAACGTAAGAACTATATTTTTGCACGTAACTTTAAAATGGCGACTATGGGGTTGACTTCCTGCCTTGAACAGGATGATATAAGCCGGCAATTGCTCTTTGAGCAATAAGCCCGGCTAAAAATGACTTGAATTTTCGTCTTTATATGGATTATTTATTTAGATATGTCAAATTTTTATATCAAGCAATTTTTCTTTGGTTATAACTTTTGCACCAGAACACAAATGCTTTCAAATGAAATATCTTTTTTTCTGCATGATGGAAAGACAATCAAAGAGAAGGGTTTTTCTTACATCAATGGTAATTATTTTCAATGCATATTCTTTTGTATTCTTCAAAATCGTTTCGAAGCAATTCTAATTCTGCAATTTTTTTGCAACGTTACGAGTTTATGGGAGACATTCTAACTGTGGCGAGGGACACAGTTAGATTATTCTAACTAGGTGACAAACCTTGCATAGTTCAAGTTTGATTTTTTAAAAATATATACAAGCTGTTTTGACCGAAGCATGCTTTATGTATAATGACATTATTTTGTCTCTTTGTAAGTCAGATCGACTTAATTCCAAGATATTTCATTCATGAACAAGTAATTACCGAAATGTCCACATTTTTATGGGCACTTCTTCATAAACATGAAATATAAATGATATCCTAAAGGGAAAAGGGGAACCGGTACATATATTGCTTAATCAATATGCTTGTTCATTTAAGACTTCCTGCCAAATCTGCAACTATTTAAAGTTTTCCCAATCTTTTCAAACCCCTATACGTACAGCCCAAGTCCTGTGAGTATTATTCATTTGATGAGCATCTTTCTTGAGGTGGACAGAATACATCAATTGCATATTTGGCATAGTCTATCATCATTTCCTTTCTGCTTTTGCCATAATGTTTAACTTATTTCTTTTTTTTCGCACCAATGAAATATCAAATATTTATTTAATATGAAAGTTTTCCCGCCTCTTTTTCTCGACATTTTATGTATCCTTAGCAACACCGCACCAATGTACAGGTAAAAACAAATAATACTCTCAAACTCGTGCTATAAAAGCTAGCGCTTTGTTCCCACCAACACATTTTAACATAACACGAAGATGTCAGTTCCAGATTTGAAATGCTCTGTTGTTGGTGATGCTAGAGTTGGCAAGACTTGTCTAACCAAAGCGTTTATTGGAGAAAAGGGTGATGAAAAATATACTCCAACTATTTTTGAAAATTACTATGGTAAGTTTAAGTTTTAGTTTTGTGTAATACACATAGTATTTGTGTCTGTGGATTAACGTCTCATTCACTGTAATAATATATACAAATGCATTAAGATGGTTCTTTATTTTCTTAGGGGAAACTTTCTGTAGAGGAAAGAAAGCCATCGTGTCAATTTATGATTTACCCGGACAGCATGACTTTGACCAGATGAGGCGATTTGCCCTTAAAGACAGCAATGTCGTCATCATTTGCTACGATGTCCAGAAAAGAAAATCATTCGAAAATGTCCAGTCTGTGTGGATTCCGGAAATTCGACAGTTCCTGGGAAAGACTATACCAATTGTTCTAGTGGGAATTTTTTCTGGTAGAAATCAAGCAAGAAGCGTGTCTAAAAGAGAGGCTATCAAAGTCACCTCCCAAATGCGAATTCATGACTACTTTGAGATATACTCTGACGATAATGTTGAAGTATCCTGTCTGTTTTCTTGTGTCGCATCTATTGCAAAGAAAACAAAAAGACACCATTCGTCCTTTCTTCGACGTATGTTTATAAATTGACACTCAATCAAAGTCTATGGGTGTTATTTTATAGTTCCAGATGAATAAGAACATGACCTGAGCTGAACCTAAATGAAGCCAGTTGAACTACAGAAATGTGATAAATGTTCTCATATGATGGCCTACAAGATATTGCGAAATGTCCTGAAATTCAAATCTTGCAAATAAAAGGTCGACGCGTGACTCAACGCTCAAGGACGAAGAAAGAGAGATAATTTCTGAGAGAAGAAAGACATAGAACATGAAGAAAAGAGATGTAATTATTGAGAAATTCGATGTATATTGTTTTTTCATACTTTTTGTTCTCAAAGTGTTTTGTTTTTCTCGATAAATCAATAATTGTACAAGATACAATTGTTCTTATTTTTTTATCGAAAGAATTCATCCATATATGAAGAAAGGTGTCTGCTGATTAGTGAATTAAAAGTATTAACAGGTCTGTTACAAACATACATGTAAACGCCATTATAGATAAATGTGCGTGTTTACCTAGTATTTTCAAAAATATTCCACAACTGAGTACTTGTAAAAGATGGTCATTAAATATGACTGATTGTATGTTTTTATGAGAAAGATTTCTCTCATATTATTATGTATCAATGCACTATGAGTAGTAAGTAAAGAGACAAGTAGAAATGTTCCACGAGATGTACTTTTGATAACTAAAAGTTGAACAACTCTCATCTCTTGATTACTAGTACTTGGTTTAAGTCGAACTCTTATGAAACAAATTAAATAAATCAGGAGCAGAGATCACGGACCTCCATAACATCAGAGGTGGGATAAGGTGCAATGCAGAGTCCCCTGCCGACCGGACACACACGCCATGTTGTTAGGTTTGTCAAACAACATTCGTCTCATTTTTTCGTGTGCTCGTTTAAGATTTTTATCTATACGATAATTCTTTAAAAATCAAATTATTTTCCTACCAAATGGTCGAAGCAATAGATAGTTTTCGAAAGGCCTGAATTAAGCGAGAAATATTTCCCGTTGGTCGCCATATTGGAGGTCGACTAGGTGATTTTCCCTCTTTGTCTTACAAAGTTTAAGAGGATGTAGCAGAAAAGTTTGGTGGAAAATCTTTATTAAATAATTTTTTTTAAATAAAGGAGGCTCCCAAAAATTTATATACCTCAGAAAAATAATGATTCCTTATTCAAAATAGCAAATATAAAAATTGGTTGAACAATGAAGGAATATGAGCATTTGGACTTCTAGTATGGCGACCAACGGGAAATTACTCCTGGTAATTTCTGGCCTATCGAAAACTATATCAGTATCTATATAGCCAAAAGCAAGAATTCGAAATTTAAAAAAGAAATCATTTTAATCCAAAATAAGTCACCTACTAAACGCAGTTACGTAGTTAGAGCGTTTGCTTAGGAATACGTTGCCAGCTGGAATTCCACTAAGGAACGCTGTTAACTCATACTTGTTTTTCGGACGAGACAGTTAAAACCAACTTCTCCATAGGTTCTGGAGCGAAAAAAACATTTCAGTGTTTGTTGTTTAAAGTCCCTCTGATACTCAAGGGTTTATGATATGATCAAGAATCAAATCTAAATCGAAGCAGACTACCAACAGTAAGTGACGTGAATTTGTCACAAGTTTCATTTAAAATCAGCATTTCATAACCTCGCTAGTCGTTATATTTTAAAACTTGTTTCACGAGTACCAATTCCCTAGCCTTTGTCTTGATCCTAAACCTTGCGTCGCGGATTCGAATCCAACTGTGGGACATGGAGACCGGTCCTTCAAATGAGACCATATAAAACGAGATGATCCCGTGTAGCAGAAGGTGCTGGCAAAAAAAAGATCCCTCCCTTCTCAATGTTCTAGAGTACCGAGTATAGGAAAAATATTGCAGCTCTCCACTGGCAAGTGGTGGCGTCTAAATATGAGTGAAAAATTCTCAAGAGGGACGTGAAATAATATACATTTAATTTATTCAATCTTTATGCTAAATTAAGGTACATATATTCCATCTCCATGTTAATTTATGGCAGGTGTCACCAGTCGATGGGGAAAACCTAGACTCCTCTTAGGTACCTGATACAACCTCAGGAATACCAGGGGGCGATCTCAAAGCATTCTCCTGGATTTATTGTGTTTGTAGATTTCTGTAGATATTTATTGATCATTATATTCATCTTTTTCATATCTATTGATCACTATTTTCATCTTTTTTCATATATCAATGATAGAACATTATTTAATTACAGTTACCTCCTTTTCACCCAACTAGTCAGCTAAAATTACTGTACATAATTGTTGCAGTAAAGCAGCTTTATGATCGTACTGTCAAGGATAGTGCCCTCGTCCCCAAATTGTTCCGATATCTCAACTTATACAGTCTGTGAAGGATTCTGTAGCTTGTGTAAGGTCAGCTTCATCTCTGTCTTATAGATATTTGAAGACTGGGGTGAAACTGACGTAACACAAGCTACAGAATCCTTCACAGACTATGAAACAGAACAGTGGGTTAATGGTGACAGACTCCTCTGGAATCCTTTCGGAAAAGAGGGACCACGGACCAACAACAGCCTTGAAGGATGGCATGGAAAGCTTTGAAAAATGGCACGGCACGCCCAGCGCAACATTTTCATCGTGGTGAAGTTCAAAGCCATACAGAATACGAAAGAGATCCAAAAGATACACAGGGAAACCTGTGGGAGCATTAGACTTCCAGCAAAAAATTATACAAATATAAAGAAAAGATTGCAGTTACTGAAAGAAAGGTATGGATGACATCATTGATTTTATGGCATACATGTACACAGACTCTGCATATGAACTTCTTCACCTTGGATAGTGATCTCTTAGTTGTGATGAAACATGTAGAGATGGACTAAATAAATTCTAAATATTGTAATAATTACATAATGTATGTGTGATACGAAAGTGAAACAGTGCTACCTAATTTATAATGAAATATCAAACGTGAAAATCGGTGCTGTTAAACAATAGCACTTCAAGATAAGACACAAAGTATAGTTTCAATTCAATTTAAGCCCTGTATTTTTCTAAAATATGAAAGTGATATAAGAAATGAAAATTCATTGTTTCTGAATGATAGGAATTCCATGCAGTAAGAATACACAAATCTCTCTTCTCATATGACCTCCTAAATGCTAATTGTGACGTCATTAACGTGCATTTTCCCGTATTTTCTTGAAAAGTTGCAGAAGACACCAATTTACAAATGAAATTTTCTTTCAGAAAACATCCTCTGCCACCGTCGCCAAGAAGATTTTGAGATGTGATTTTTCATATAATACATCCGAAAATTGAAGTTGGCGACGGTGGCAGGAACTATTTTCTAAAGAAAAAGCACAGAAATTAGTCATTCTGAAGCTTTTCTGCATTAAACTTAATGCACCAAATTGATGACGTCATTTCCAGAATGGTACTCCTTCACGCCATAGCCTTTATTGATTTACCATATTTATCTTTTCAACTATTGTTATAACCAATTGCATAACTTTTTTAAGAACATTAAATTTTTAGGGCACAATTAAGCCCAAACTGTACCTTCTTCTTTATAGATTTTAAAATGTTTAATGCTTGTAAAATTATTTATTTATAAAATATGTATACAATATACAGTGGCGGATCCACAAATTTTGAAAAGGGGGGCCCGACCAGCTTGAGGTCAGGGTAGGGGCCCACAGCCACACTGAAAAACACTGATTTATCAAATATTGAGTATTTTTTGGACTCAAAAGGGGGGAAGCGCCCGCCCCCTCTAAATCCGCCAGTGATATATTTATTTAATGCTAATGCTCAAATCGAAATAATGAATTAACCAGAAGTCTCTGTCGAGACTGTAGCTCTACTGGTTTATACTTAAAACAAAGGAAGAGAAAAGTAGCAGTTGGGACTTGAGACTTTAAATCAGCAATAAATAGAAAAATGATCCTTGCCACTCATCAAAATAAAAACCAATGCACAGAATTATGTATCTTAGTATAGTCTACTTGTGTGCCAAGTTATACTGAAATCAGACCAAAACTGCAGGAGGAGTAGCATTTTGAAAGAATTTCACAGAAATTTCTATTTTTAGTAACCAAAAATGAACATTGTTCATTGAAATCAAAAACCGATGCACAGAATTATGTATCTTAGTGTAGTCTACTTGTATGCCAAGTTATATCAAAATCAGACCAAAACTGTAGGAGGAGTAGCATTTTGAAAGAATTTCACAGAAATTTCTATTTTTAGTAACCACGGCAACACCGTTTATCGAAATCAAAAACCGATGCACAGAATTATGTATCTTAGTGTAGTCTACTTGTGTGCCAAGTTATACTGAAATCGGACCAAATCTGTAGGAGGAGTAGCATTTTGAAAGAATTTCAAAGAAATTTCTATTTTTAGTAACCAAGGCAACACCGTTCATTGAAATCAAAAACCGATGCACAGAATTATGTATCTTAGTGTAGTCTACTTGTGTGCCAAGTTATAATGAAATTGGACCAAAACTGTAGGAGGAGTAGCATTTTGAAAGAATTTCACAGAAATTTCTGTTTTTAGTAACCACGGCAACACCGTTCATCGAAATCAAAAACCGATGCACAGAATTATGTTTCTTAGTGTAGTCTACTTGTGTGCCAAGTTATACTGAAATTGGACCAAATCTGTAGGAGGAGTAGCATTTTGAAAGAATTTCAAAGAAATTTCTATTTTTAGTAACCACGGCAACACCGTTCATCGAAATCAAAAACCGATGCACAGAATTATGTATTTTAGTGTAGTCTACTTGTGTGCCAAGTAATATTGAAATTGGACCAAAACTGTAGGAGGAGTAGCATTTTGAAAGAATTTCAAAGAAATTTCTATTTTTAGTAACCACGGCAACACCGTTCATCGAAATCAAAAACCGATGCACAGAATTATGTATCTTAGTGTAGTCTACTTTTGTGCGAAGTTATATTGAAATCAGACCAAAACTGTAGGAGGAGTAGCATTTTGAAAGAATTTCACAGAAATTTCTATTTTTAGTAACCACGGCAACACCGTTCATCGAAATCAAAAACCGATGCACAAAATTATGTGTCTTTGTGTAGTCTACTTGTGTGCCAAGTTATATTGAAATCGGACCAAAACTGTAGGAGGAGTAGCATTTTGAAAAATTGTTTACAGACAGACAGACGGACAGACAGACAGACGGACGGACGACGGACGCATTACTATCGCATAAGCTCTTCTGGTCTCTGACCAGTAGAGCTAAAAAACCATTTTATTTTATTTCAATTCTGATAGATTGATGATTCATACACGTAAGTATATACCTGTACCCCTCAGAGGGCCCCTTAAAGCAATATGAGCTGCATTTCAGGCGTTGGCACGATAAAGATCCCTCACTGCTCAATGGCCCTGAGTGCCGAGTAAAGGTCAAAATTTGAAGCCCTTAAACGGCATACGGTGACGTCTCCATATGAGTGAAAAATTCTCGAGAGGGACGTTAAACAATATACAATCAATCAATCAAAATTTTTTGAGAAATTTATTTCGCTGTAACAATGTGTTATTATGATTAATTTGTGTGTATTTTAAACTCTTATGATAAATAAAACCAAAATGATATTTGAAATTGTTTCATAAGAAATATTTCTGTACAGTCGAATGTTTAGCACTAGATAAGAAATCATTATTGTACAGGACGACAATAATGTAATTTTGCTTCAATTAAAGCTTATAAAAAGTTCTTCCATCAGAAAAATGAACAACAACAGATGTTTATAAATGTTCTATTTTTCTATCATTGAAATAGTTAATTACAAATTTGCAACAAAAATTTCCCATGTCAAATATGCAGCTCATATTGCTTTAATTGAGGGTGATAAATACTGTTGGTTTTGTCGAGTAGCCATTCGGGGAATAAGACAACTTCTTCATCGTGGTGAATACATATTGATAATAAACTCTCAAACGATGCACCAGAGTTTGTACTGTGTGCTGATTGATTGTATACTGTTTAACGTCCATCTCGAGAATTTTTCTCTCATATGAAGACATCACTTGCCGATGGAGAGCTGCAAATTTTGTCTTATGCTTGGCACTTATGGTAATCATGAAAACTCATGGGCGAATTTTCGTGGATTGTTTATAAAATTTAAAAGATTCGTAGGGACGTAATTTCATGAACTCACTACTTATGAACATATATGTTTATATCTAAAGACTATAAATAAGTTTTCTTGATAAATTACTTTACATGGAGGGACTTGAATTTTAAACTACATGTGCCTGCTGCTTCATATAAATTATTATAACAAATGGTTTTGTTCTTGAGGGGAAGATTTATTTCTTATTTGTTTGTAAAAATTTGATCCCCCATTGTGACCCAGCCCTACCCCCGGTGGCCGTCATTTGCATATCAATATTGACTAATCATGGCTTTTCTGTTCTTAAGAAAAAGATTTCTTCGTATATAATCCTTAGTAAAACTTTAATCCCTCACTACTATCCCCTTAGGGGTCATCATTTGTATCTACACTACCTGTGTGCTTCCATAACAAAATTACTAATCACGTCTTTGCTTTTCTAAAGAGGAATAGTTTTTATACCCAACGCAACAAGTTGCGTGAGGTACAATGTTTTTGACCCGTCCGCAAGTCAGTCAGAGTGTCAAGTCAGTCAGTCCGTTAGTCCTGTTTTTTTTTTTTTTTTTTTTTTGTCAGTACAACTCCTCATAAACCGCTGCACAGAATTTCGTCAAACTTTGCAGATATTTAGGACACAATGTGTAGATTTGCACATTACCAAGAAATTCAGGTTCCTTAATTTTTTACGGGAATTTCCGCACTTTTTAACTTAGATTTTTGGCCATTCATTGAATATAGAGATGAACAGTTTGTCAGCACAGCTCCTCTTAAACCGCTGCACAGAATTTCACCAAACTTTGCAGATATTTAGGACACAATGTATAGATGTACATATTACCAGGAAATTTCAATTCCTTTATTTTTCTTGGAATTTCGGCACTTTTCAACTTAGATTTTTGACCATACCTTGAATATCGAGGTGAACAGTTTTTCAACGCAACTCCTCTTACAGCTGCACGGAATTTAGTCAAACTTTGCAGTTATTTAGGACACAATGTGTAGATGTGCATAATACCGGGAAATTCCGATTTCTTTTTTTCCCCAGGAATTTCCGCACAAAAAACTTAGATTTTTGGCCATACCTTGAATATAGAGATAAACAGTTTGTCAGCACAACTTCTCTTAAACTGCTGCACAGAATTTCATCAAACTTTGCAGTTATTTAAGACACAATGTATAGATTTGCATATTACCAGGAAATTCCGATTCCTTTTATTTTTCTTGGAATTTCGGCACTTTTCAACTTAGATGTTTGGTCATACCTTGAATATAGTGATGAACAGTTTGTCAGCACAACTCCTCATAAACCGCTGCACATAATTTCATCAAACTTTGCAGATATTTAGGACACAATGTGTAGATGTGCATAATACGGGGAAATTCCGATTTCTTTATTTTTTCCGGGATTTTCAGCACTGTTTTGGAGGAGCGTGGGGTATGTGAACTTGCTCACTTTTTCTTTCATTTAAAGACTTATTTAAACTTTATTCCCACATTAAACTTTCATCACCCGCTGTGGCCCCACCAAAAAAGAAATTTTTGATATCAATAATTCAAATTATTGATATCAAAAAATATTTTCTGATATCAAAAAATAATTCTTCATAACAAAAAGTAGATTTTTTGATATCAGAAAATCAATAAATTTGAGTTCAACTCTCACACGATGCTGGGTTTGAGAAAGTAAAGATGGCGTCAGGCGGTAATGAGCACATGTGAGTAATATCTGTTTTCTTATATTTCGAATCGGCAAAGGGATTTTTAAGATTTAAAAAACGTAATACAGAACTGTCATATTAATATAAATATTTATGTAATCAAAAAACGATCGGCAACGTAATTGCCGTCTTGTACCCAGATATTTAGTTATTATGAACTGTAGTCCGACGTACGATTTTTCGGACTACAGTTCATAATAACTACAAATCTGACGTTTTCCTGGCATGTAAAATATAGAATCGTATAAACTCCAGGAAAACGTCAAAAATCCGATTTTTGGACTATATGAACTGATGAATAGAGCTGTCGCATAAAAACGATTAAAAACGTTAATGAAAAGGTTGAGTATAATTTTCTGTATTAAATGCATGAAGATCTGGGCAATTTTTAAGAAACAGTTCTATAACTAATAAATTTAAATGTAGATCTTGTTTATATCCATTTTTAGGGTAAAATACAGAAAGACGGGCAATATTATTTGTTGGAGGAGAGTTTGGCTGCAATTTTTCTGTCAGAAGATGGTGGTATGTATACAATTTAAATAATTTTTCATAAATATATATCTCAATCAGTAACAGATTTTATGCGGCTGAAGAAACAAGTCATTAATTTTATTTACATTGTAATTATTTTACTGAAAGATTTTTTTAAATGAAAAACTTACTTGTTGAAAAATCAAAAATAAAAAGATCAATAAAATATTTAAGTCATTGAAAAACAGATTATTTTGATTCGGAATTTGTTTAGATAAAAAAAATTCTTTCTTAAAGAGCTAAAGCCACGAAGTGCAAAAATATGCCCTGTTACCAAAATGAATAAAATTTTATTCCGTGATAGGTTAGACTTTGTGGGTTATAACATAATTTATTTTTTAATGATATCTTTTCCAGTTTTCTTTTTATAGTCGTTTGAAATTAGTATTATTTTTAAGTAAAATCTACATTGTACATGTATAACGTCATGACTATTGACGTTATTTATACACATGTATATTGTAACGGTATGACGTTAACGTTATTCAAATGAAGGTAATTATATCTACATTATTGGAAGGATTCGCTAAAATAAACTCTACCTAAGAATTTGGGAAATTTTATCATAGGACTGTTAAGAAGTTTTGAATCATGAGATAAATACATGTACAATGTAGCTAGCTTTAGTTTTTGCTTTGATTAAAAAGTGTCTAAATACTGTTATATATTGACCTGTTAAATCAAAAGCAACTTTTTTAAATGATACATCAAGAGAAAATAGGGGGAAATTTTTCACGGTGTAAATATTAGCTGTATCCCAATATTGATTAATCCGTAAAGTCACGAAAAAAATGAATATTAAGTGTTCAATCTTTTTTTTTGGGGGGGGGGGGGGGGTGGTGAAATTATATAGTAAAGGCAACAGAAGGTTGTTTTATTAAGCGGTTGCTACTTGTGTGATCATTCAAAATACAAGGGCCGTGCGTAATTAACATTACCATGTGTACATGTATATACATGTATTTTTTGCCCATCATGCGTAATTGTATGGACATTTTGTTTAAAATTATCCCTCGAACTTGCTGTACATATGGAAGGATATAATTTTGCCGAGGAACCTTCACACGTTTTTTATCGTCAAGTCTTATCCCTTGGGTAGAAGCTCTAGGGTAGTGTACATTGCTATGCATACTGGAAATTCATTCCAGATTCATAGTCAAAGACGTTTGACGGCACTTGTTTTGATAAACTGTAAATTAATTACCATATCTATAACCGCTTTATTTAAACCTCTGTAAACGCCAACAGATGAACAGGCGCGGATCCAGAATTTTTTTCCAGTCAAAAAAATATACAACTCAGAAATCTCTCTCATGCAAAAAAAAAAGCAAACAAACAAAACAAATCAACAACACCCCCCCCCCCCAATAAACAAAATAAACGCACATAAACTCCTTTCCCATGTTTCGGATTGTTTCCCCCATCGTCTCAAGACACGGTCTGGAGTCCGCATACAGCTCTTTCCTCCAGAATGGGAGAGTATGGGCATTTTGACGATGATTGTGTTTTCCCATACATATAAAACCATGACTTTTTATACAAACTCAACACAGATTCCATGGTTTCAGTGTCATCTAGGAGGGATCCAAGGTCACTTTTACTTAGTTTAGTATCGGTATTTAAAATTCTGCAAATCCCAGTCTCTACATTTAGATCCGCGCATGGATGAATACCGGGTATACAGACAGAGGAGGTAACGTTTATTATTTCAACGATTCCTATCAAATCGCTATCATCTCGGGGATAGAGAGAAAAATGTAAAAATTACAAATCCTAAATACCAAGCTAGCATATTTTAAAATTATGATCTCTGAAGGCAACGAAATTACATGCACGAGATAATTCTGATATTCTTGGACACCCCATGTATGAAATAACTGCTGTCATTTTATATAATGTTTGATACCCCTTTTGAGCTGAAACTGGAATATATGTAATTCCGTTCAAGTGTAGACCAAGGCCAGTTATATGTTAATGCAGTTAAGATCTATATTATATTTTTTAACAATAAAGAATATTAAAGATCACCCCCGCTGTTGTGATATGTTGTGAGAAAATAAATTACCCTACCTTTTGATCATAATAATCAAGTAATGCAAGTATTTATGAATGAACCCCCCCCCCCCCCCCCCCCCCGAAACACTATTGAATAGATTTATTTCACTTCGTCAGTTTTTCACTTGTAAAAATTGATTTTTTTTTCGATTGTGTATGTTGATATAATTTCTCTAGATTTGCCCTTGCATCAACCTCCAACTAACTAACGACCTGTAGCACAGATTACTTATGAAATATTTGGAAAACCTACAGGTAAATATTTAAAGCAAAGGGGGCGTTGCGAAAATATTTTATAAATACTGAATAATACGCTGACATATTTCTGTATTTTATATTTTTACCACATGGAATTATAACTGTATGAAACATACATTGATGAAAATATCAGAAAACATATGTACATACATTGATACCCTCCGTGCGAAGCTAAGCACGGAATCATTAATAAGATTTTTGCTTTTGAAGCAGGATGAAAATTTACTTTTCTACACCTGCATAAAATTATTTCAGAAGATTTTGTTTAAAAGTAAAATAGATCGAAGGCTGACATACGTATGTAAATTTCTGCTATAATATGTAACAGTGCTGACTCTACTATATTATAAGGAACTTGAAATTGACATATACTCATCACAAATTCAAGACTTTGTTTCGTGGAATTGCAGACAATTTAAATATCTAAATCCTTCAATTTCGTACATTATTTCTTTTTTTTTATTAATATTTTAGAAGCAAGGTAACACAATATTATTTTGCTTAATCACACATGATTATGATATTCCCTGTTTATACAGTGATGTGGATCCAGAATGGGGGGGGGGGGGTCCATTCTTTGAATTTGCTAAAAAGAGTCCCAAATTTTTGTTGTGCTCATGTAGTAACAAATGTAGAATTTCGATTGTGAAAACAAAATTGGATTTACAGGTTCGGAGATTTTTAGAATTATTCTCTTTCCTTTGTCAAAAACTTTCAGGTACTAAGTTCATAATTTTTTCCCAGTCTGATGACTCTCCCACTTTTAAAACGATACTACATCCCTGGATCTTTTTATCTTTCTGTAAGCGTACGTTATAACAACTCTATTCCTCTTCAATCCCCCTTCTGAAAAAAAAATCTAGATCCGAGTCTGTTTCACTTAAGTATTTACAAGCTAGTAATCGTGTAAAGCAGCATTAAGATTTGTCTTTAGAATAACAGTAGCATCCTATTAGTATAGTTAAATTATTTAAAACGAAGATAGTGTTACACAGTGGCGGATTTAAGGGGGGGGGGGGTGGCTCACCAGCCCCCACCCCGCTAAAATTGTCAAAGTTAGCGTAAATCAAATATGTCTACTTGGTAGACCTCATTTTCACCCTTCAAGATCTCTAGAATCCAGGAGCTTCCGGGGGCTTCGCCCCCTGGGCCCCCACCAGGGCTTTGGTAGACCTCATAATCTGTAGAATCCAGGAGCTTCCGGGGGCTTCGCCCCCTGGACTCCCACCAGGGCTTTGGTAGACCTCATTTTTACGCTTCAAAATCTCTAGAATCCAGGAGCTTCCGGGGGCTTCGCCCCCTGGGCCCCCACCAGGGCTTTGCCCTGGACCCACTGGGGGCCTCAAGGCGGCCCCCAGACCCCTTGCCTAATTTTGGCGCCCCCTCTAACTCCAAATCCTGGATCCGCGCCTGCTGTACAGCTTTAAAACAAAAACAGGCGATTGAAAAGGGGGTGAAATTGGAGATCATAGAAATAGACCTCTGTTAATAATTTGATGATATCAAGTAAAGCCTAAGTGATTCATCTGGAAAAAAATCAATTATTTGAAAATACTAAAATAATTACAGTCTTTATGACGTCATAATTGACGTATATGTATTACTATTAACGTCATGTTCAAAGACTGACGAAGAGAAATGTAACTTATATGTTTTTTGAGTTTTAAATTCAGATAATATAAATAGAAGATCATGCCTCTCTACAAATATCGTTTCAAACGAACTACTGACTATTTTTTAAAATATATTGTGTGTAATTTTTATACCACTATTGTTATATAAACTAAATATTACTGAATGTTTAACAAAACTGGTGAATCTTTGCGACATCAAAATTTAAATGTAAAGTCGTATTTCATATTGGCCACACGTGTGAACAACGATGATATTAAGCATGTAGATTCGTATCAGCAATATTTATACATATGGTAAGTATGAAAGTTGTTCTTGAATGTGGCCACACTTAATTTTGGGAAAATCTGTCGAAAAATCGGCATTTTTGAACGTTTTTATGAAACCGTCGCATCTTCAAACCATCGCACGTGCCTAACAGCGCGATATTTAACAAAATGAGTTACGTAAGGAAAAGAAGTATATTGTCCTCTAATAATTAACGTATAATACCGGCCATGAATAGAAACTCGAATTTTGTGAAAAACACAGGGCCAAATATGATGGTTCGTAGTTTATATATTTTTTTAAAATATGATTATGAATAACACCATTTTCATACACAGATCCAGAGACAAAAAGGGTCATTAGGGAGGCAATGCGTGCATCAACTTCTGGGGAATCAACTTCTCCCAGTGGATGTGAGATCCCCCCTTCGGATTCACGCTTAGCTTCACAGGAATTTGCATCTGGCCGTTCTACACCCTCCAGTGTCTCAACTTCCAGCTCTGACTCACAGGTAGACTGGAATTTTGCTGACAATCATTCAGAGAAAATTCTTCCTGACAAAAATCTCGAATTTTTCTTAATGTCTACATGTGCCAGTACAAAGTGCTTCTCTTCACTATTCACAAATTCATTCTCTAGTCAGTCTAGATCTGAAAAAAATGTTGATTTAAATTGTTCTGAAATTAGAGTGAGAGTATCTAATGAAATTTTTCAACCTGTCACGAGTTTCACAGTCTTCTTTCTGAAAAACTAAATTTACTTACAGAGCACAATGCATGTTTTGACGGAGAGTGAAGAAAAAGGTTTAATTGGTTTAAGGCTTCAGAGGGAGGATAAGTGGACAGGCACAAAATCTCATGACTCCGTATGGGGAGAAATAGCAAGTGAAATGAAAAAAAAATAATATCCAAGTTTCCAAGACACAATTGATCAATAAATGGAAGGCATTGAAAAGGAAATACAAGGAAATAAATGATGAAAATAACAAAACTGGCAATAAAAAACATTCCTGGAAATATTTAGATCAGTTCAGCGAGGGCTATGGCAATAAGGCCTCCACAAAGGTAGCCGTTTCCTTTAACACAGGACGCCCTAGAGAAAAACTAAAAATCGACAGAGCATTGGACAAGGATGAAGACATAGTTCCTGAAGAAGAAAAGCAGTCAACATCAGCAAGTGACACAGATTCCAAATCCACAACTCGTGCTCTACTTAAACTATGAAATTAAAATCTACCAAACGCAAGATATCCGATAGCATCAAACTAATTGAGAATATCCAAGAACAAAACAAGGAAAACTTATGAACTCCATGAAAACACAGCATGAAGACAAAATGCGACGCATCGATCGTATGCTGGAGCTGATGGAGAAGTCTTTGGACAAATATTTATCTCCACAATGTCAATGTACTGCAATGTGTATGTTTTTATTTGAATCAACAAATTCATGGTTTTGTGCAGTTTTAACTTTGCATAAATTTTGGTGAAATCCACACCATTGATTTCATTTATTTTAATTTTTGCAGTGGTTTTTATAACTTTTGTGATTCAAATATGATGACATTTCAAACTATTGATGCTGTGAAAAGCAACTTAACCAATTTTTCAAGTGAAAATACATTTGAATGGGGCTCAACAAATCAAACTTATAAGTTATAAAGACATGTCTTAGTAAACAAAATTATACCCTGGGCCTCTTATTTTGTTTAAATGTGCATTGTATTGTTAACAATTTTTTCTCTATATTTGTTTTGTTCTTTCAGAAAAAGTGAATAAAAGATTGACAACATTTCAGAAATCTTTTATTTAATATCTTGAACATATATTTGTGTGCAATATACTGTAGAAAAATCATAATCACTTTCACATCAGTGTCAATCAAATCAGTTACAATGGCAATGTGTTAAGTAACTGTTGTCTGAATAAGGCGCCATCCCTTCCATCAACAAAAATGTTGGGGTAGGCATTAGGATGCCCATCGTCATCATTTTCTATGAAGGCTTCAACGTCATCATGATGCAAAAACACATAAATTGTGCAAAATGCATCCTGAAATAATCAGTGAAACTATGCGAGATAGCTTTCGAACAGTTAATTCTCGAAGTCTCCGAAACCTTCCTTTTAAGTGTCCATATACCCGTTCAACAATTTGTCTGGCCGAAGACAACATCTGATTAAATCTGCGTTGCTGTGCATTAAGTCTTCCATTATCTCGGAAAAGTGTGTTCAACCAATTCCTCAATGGATAGGCACTGTCTGCAATAATAAAATTTCCACCCACAACGCATTGTCCGTTTTCGGCTTTGTCAAACAAAGAGGAATTTCTGAGGACGCGTGCATCGTGGGTGCACCCAGGCCAGCCCGTATACGCATCTCTTATCAACATGTCACAGTCTGCAAAAACCCGTTCATTTAAAAAAAAAAGCATTTAATTAATGGTCTTTTCTACACACACAAAAAATAAGTGAATAAAAGTAAGTTTTATACAGTTTACAGTAATTGCCAGGTTTATTAAATAAAAAAAAATAGTTTACATAATGTCAACTCACAGTAAATAAATATTTTACCTGTAACTGAATTGAAGGGAAATTTTTTCTGTTAGGGGACGACCATTTGATTCTGAGGGGGGGGGGGGGGGGGGCTGGCAGATTTTGGAAATAAATAATCTGTCCCTGAAAACGTTGAAAATAAATAATCTGTCCTCCTCTGCAAAGAAAATAAATAATCTGACCTTGACTTATGATATTTAAACATTGTGAAAATACCTTTTTATTTACGTTCAATTTAACCTCAGAATCTTCAATTCAGCATTTTTTTGGCTCGCTTCGCTCGCCATTTTAGAACCAAATACATGTAATATTTAAAATCAGATTACCAGAGTGGATACTTGTAGTCAGTTGATCAGCATGGCAATGTGCACTCAGTAGATGTGATGAATCACTTTAAATACAAGCCAATTCTTAAACACCACAAAAGATAAATTTTCTTGTCAAAGAAGTATACTTCCCGATAAATTAATACAAAGTATACAGTGGCGGATTTAAGGAAGGCGTACATGTGTATGATCCCTCCCCTAATATTTCAAAGTATGATATGAATAATATAAATATTGCAATAGTTTAGTACAATACAATATTTTTGTGCCTAGTTTTACTCTTAAAATACACAAAAACCCAAGAGCTTCAGGGGGCTTCGCCCCCTAGGCCCCCGTCATTCAAAGTATGATATGACTAGTATTAATTATGTAATACTTTGGAACATAACTAACCAATTCCTACATAACTGTGCCTGGTTTTACTCTTGATATACACAAAAACCCACGAGCTTCAGGGGGCTTCACCCCCTGGACCCCCTTCATTCAAAGTATGACATGACCAATATTAATGTCATACTTTGGTACATAATAACCAATACCATAATAAATGTATAATTGTCCTGGTTTTATTCTTAAAATACCCGAAAATCCCAGAGATTCTAGGGAATTTCCCTCCCTTGGCCTCCACCAGTGCTTCACCCAGGACCCACTGGGGGCCTTAAGGCGGCCCCAGACCTCTTGCTTGAACGAAGTTATACACGTCCCCCACCCCCTCCTGAATCCGCCTATGGTATATAAATGATTAGTCTTTTAGAATCAATCGATCAAGGTACTAAGACAAAGAACAAAATAGATAATCTGTCCTCGATAATCTTGAAAATAAATAATCTGACCTTGACAGGCATGAAAATAAATAATCCGTCTCAAAAAATTTTGCCAGCCCCCCCCCCCCCCCCCCCCCGAATCAAATGGTCGTCCCCTTAAAATAGTCCTTGTCTCCACCAGGAGCTGAAGCTAACCTAATATGTGTTCCATCCAAAGAGCCGATAATACCACGTAGCCCAGACTGGAGTTGAAATTGTCTTGATAAAGCTTGCTGTGTATTAGCATCTGGCCAGTTTATCACCTAAAATATTTAGAACATGCATGGATAATTTAATCCTGGTTGTAACGCTGTATTTGATTGGATAAAAAATTTACTTCATATCGTATAAAATGGGTTGCCTACGTCACAATGACTTACGTCAAAAACGTATCAATCCGCCTGATGTTACATTCAAATTTTGAACAAATTCAAGTCATTTTGTTAGAACAATCTTTTTTTTCTTACATGAAATGAATGAAAATTAAATTATAAGCAATGAATTTAATAGCTACCCATTTTATACGGTGTAAACAGGGTTGGAACAGCGTAAACTGCCCCAACCCAGTTTATACCGTATAAAATGGGTAGCTATTAAATTCATTCCTTTAATGAAAACCTTTACTGATAATTTTATAATTGAGGGGATTGAAAATTATCTTTATTTTAAATTATTAAAATGATCTTATCCACAAATATTTACTTACATTAACTAAGTTTTCGTTTTTTACACTATGACATTTCCATTACAATTTCATGAACAGTTGTGGTTCCTATTGCAAATGTATTGCTAACTTCTCTTAATGTTTCCTGATTTGCCATGTACCATAGAAACACTAAAAGTTTTTTTGTTTGGCAGTATAGGCTCTGATCCACCGGACCATGCGCTATCATCTGTGAGGGAATGTACAATTGAGTTCATAATTATATCAAAAATTTCTGGGCTCACTCTGAAATGTCTTAAAAATTGTTTGCTATCAAACTGCGGCACAATATTTTCGGAAAATCCCCCAAGTCTTGGAATAAAATTACGCCGCTCTAAATTTAGGAGAATTGTGATCCAGGTCTGCTCTATCGCAAGGAAAAATGAAATGTCCGTGTCATCCTCAATAAATAAATCTCCGTACAACTGTGCTTTGATAACTTCCTCCATTTTGGAGAGTCTCACCAGTCAAGTAGAGTCATTCTCGTCTAACTTTGCGTGCGCAGCACGAGTTTCGTATCCCGGGTTAAAACCCGAGCACGACAAGAAAACGCTCAGGATGTTTCCATATAAATATGACAAACCATGGCTGTGCTGTTGCTTCTCCTCTGCAACCGCTCAACCACTTTTGGCACAAAACATCTTTACACAAGAGGCCCACGGGCCTTATAGGTCACCTGAGTATTGTGTAACAACTTTCAAACAATTACCTTTGGTTTGTGTTTTAAACCAGAGGCCATGAAATTCACAATTTTGAAAGAGGCACCATTGTTTATCATAATTACATGTATAAACTTTGCACGCTTACTCTATTTACTTAATACCCAGAGGTATATCAGAGTAACAAAGAGCAAATGCACTTCCACTTTATAACCAGTTTTGCACCTCACTACAAAGGAACCACTGGCCCTGGGGCCACATACCTGGTAATTCCAAATTTTGCAAATTTTATCATAACATTGTTGATTAATACCAATGAGCAGATTTCAAAGCATTAATTTATTTTCAGACTTTGTAACACCCCCCCCCCCCCCGGACCCAGGGGGCATAAAAAATAACCATTTTGCTAGATGCACCTTTCTTCATTATAAATATACATACTTGGATCATTAGCATAAAACCCAGGAGCAAAGGAAAAGATTTTCAAAGAATTAATTTATTTTCACTATATAATCAATAGAGCCCCGCCCTAACACCAGAACCCCTGACTCTGGGGCCATAAAATTCAAAAATATGGAAGAAGCACTCTTGCTCATCATAACTATGTACTTAGTTTGTTTATTTAATACCCAGAAGCAGAGAAGACTTTCAGAGAATAAATTATGCATTTTCACTATTTAATCAATAAAACCCATCCCTAGCCCTAGAACCCCTGACCCTGAGGCCATAAAATTCATAATTTTGGAAGAAGCACTCTTGCT